AGCGAATTATGTCCAGAGGCAGGTTGGCAGAGCGAATGTGTGAGTGAGTGAGTGAGCGAGTACTAAGTAGGGCTGAGGGGGGGAAGTTCGGAGGGCGGAAGAGCACTGAGCCCAGGTGTGGCCCATTATCCCTGTGTAGCGCCCACTCCCGTGGACCAGGAGGCTTGAAGGAACCACCATCTCTCGGTCTTTGCGGCGTTGTCAGTGTGATAGTGTGGGTCCCAAGGGTGAAGCAGCAGCGACAGTCATCTCTGTGGCTTGTGCCCAACCTCCCTGGGGAAAGACTCTACAACCCCCAGGCCTGAACTACTGCCATTGAGTCCACGGTGACTCATAGCGTGCCCCAGGGGGAGGGGGAGGAGTTCCCAGATTCTAACTGTTGATGGGAGCAGAAAAGCCCAGTCTTTCTCCCCAGGAGGAGCTGCAGGAGATTTTGAACTGCTGACCATGTGGATCGCAGCCTAACGTGTAACCACTACGCTACCAGGGCTCCTTGGAGAGACTTTAAGATCAGGGTCAACTACAGTGGATTTAACTTGAGAGACATTTGAGGATGATGGGACTGCTGGCCTAGTGAGCTACCAACTGGGCTGTCTCCTGGGAGGTGAGCAGTTTGAAGCTAGCAGCCACTTGGAGGGAGAAAGATGAGGCTGTCTGCTCCCACGGAGACTTACAGCCTTGGAAACCCTAAGTAGCAGTTCTCCTCCAACTGACGGGGGTCACTATGAGTCAGAACCGATTAGAGGGCAGTGGGTTTGTTTGGGGTTTGAGAGGCCACATAGTCTTGTCCCAGGGCCGGGGCTGGGCATCCCACAGAAGCTGAGCAACAGATGGACCCCAGAGCCCTTGTCCCTGGTGGGTTGGGCCTTCCGACATGGACACAGGTGCCTGGTGGGAGCAGCCAGTGTGACAACTTACCCCTCTGGAGTCCACCGCTGCATACATAATGTCCATCCACCCCTTAAAGGTTGCCTGGAAGGAAGCACATACAGCAAAGGAAATCGTCGTAACTCCTCACCTGGCCCGAGCCACTTAGTGCTCCTGTCTGGGCCCTGAGACTAGGACAGCGCCCCTACAGGAAGCAAGCAGCCTCGCACCCTTCAGCAGGGACCAACTGGCCAGGTCAAGGAAGTGTGTTCTGGTTTTAAGGGTGCTGGCACAGGCTGGGGCACAGGGCCTACCAGAAGATACCCCACAAAGGCCACGTAAAGAGGGGAGTAGCTTCCTGACCAATGACATGAAATCCAGTGACTGAAGGGGCCTGTCTCATATCTACATTCATTTCCACATCTATCAGGACACAAGGGCTTGGCTCTGCTCCAGCAGGTCCCCCTTGGCATGCCCCTCAAAGAACGACTTGGCTTCTGTCTCATGGCCTTCCACAGGCAGTCCCCAAAGAATCCCAGCCTGCCCTTGTACTGAAGGAGGTCCTGCTGCCAGCATTGTCCTGCTAAGTGTTGGTACTGGCCTTCTCGAAGAAAAAATGAGCCTTGATGGTTGGTCGTGCCTGCCAATTTCTCTGGTGTAAAGAATCCCAGTCTGCTTTCAAGTTACCTCCACGACACTGGCGAGCCGAGAGTGGCTAAGGGCTGCAGGGAGGGAGCACAGGGTGCCCCAGCATCTGCACTGCACAGCTAAGACACAGACAGGACCCAGAGTGCAGAGAACAGTAAAACGCAACGGAGACCTTGTTACTTCAGCGTTCGTACCATGGAGTTAAGTCCTTGAACTTTGATTTTGAGCAATGGCCGCCTTAGCGATCCGTTTGCAAAATTCCAGAAGGTGGAAAAACTGGCTCCAGCGGGCTGGCACAAACTGGTTTTAGCACTCCACACCACACAGACAGGGGTGAAGGGGGCAGGTCCCTGGTGCTGGCAGCCCTGTCCTGCCCATGCGGGGCTGCTATTTGGATCCTGAAAAGGACTGCAGGAACTGGACGGTCATAGCAACTGCCAGCATGTCCTGAGCAAAAAAAAAAAAAAAAATCCAGCCTTTGCCTCGCCCGCTTGTAGGGCACCAGCTCAGTCGCACAAGATCCCTGTGCCTGACTTCTTAAGAGGGCAGGCAGGGCAGATGGGGAAGCTGAGGCCTGGAGAAAGCAAGTTGCTTCAGCTTCGTGTCATCCTGATACAGCGCATCCCCACCCCCTTCCCGTGTCTTGTGAGAGAAAACACAACACGACACAAACCAAAATAACCCACTGCCATCGCGATGACGCTGAGTGACTCCATACAGAGTTTCCGAGGCTACCCATCTTTATAGGGATAGCCTCATTTTGCTCCTGAGGAGAGGTGTGGGCTTGAACTGCTGACCTTGAGGTTAGCAGTCTAGCTGACAGTGCCAACAGGGCTCCTTTTAGGAGAGAAGAGGGGCCTGGAAGTGCTCTGGGAACTGCTAGGGACCACCTGTGGTCACACGGTGCTCGGGAGCAAGTTTGTCTCAGACCCTGGGCAGCCTTGCTCCTCTGACCGTTCAAAGGGGCTCCCTGAGTGTGAGGAATGGTCGAGGGATGAGGGGATGCACGGACAGTTCTCACGGAGGAGAGTCCACCAAGTTTTCCTCCATTTGGGACATGAGCGGCGAGTGTGGGCTCAGGATCAGTGGGGCGAGAAAAGTTAGCCTCAGATTTAGGCATGACGGTTCGGCTTGTATTTCTGATATGGAGACTCCAGGCCGGCTTATTTTCGGCACAGGTTATCAGCACCTAAACCACGTGTGCCCACAGATCAATGGAAACTAGGGGCATGCGTGTGTCTGATCATCCCACATCCTGTCCATCAAAAAATGGAAATAGACACACCTTTTAAACAACACGCCTTTTATAACAGAGGGTGGCTGGAGTCAATGCTGCTAACCATTCAGCCCCTGATTGTCTAAGCCTTAGACTCTACGGTCTTTCATGCTCATTGGTGCCCGCCCACTGCCAGATGGGCGGTGTGGTGAGGCCACACTGACTGTGGGCCGGTGAGCTGGATCTGTGGCATGTGGTATCCCCTGTGCCACTCTGTGGCAGTTACATAATCTCTTGCCATTTTGGGAGGGGCTGGAGTCTAGCCTGTCAATCAGGTTGCAGCTTGCTGGCCTCATTTGGAGGTGCCACTGTGATAAATAGCTCACTGGAGGCCAGATACACTCACTCCCTGCGAGACATTCCTGTGACAAGACACATGGGGCCACATTATAGCCCTGGAGCTGGAGGAGCTACATGGAGACCCACGCCAGCGGTGAGATGTTTCCACCGCCACTGGATCCACAAGACTTCCCACCCACTGGCCCGAGACCTCCCTGCATTCGGTGTCATTGCATGTGTTGCATGAGTCTGAAGAGGAATTTATAGATTGGTATCAGACCTATGGGCTAATATTGGACTTACGGACTTGATCTGGATTGGGCTGGGCTGTTTACTCAATATTGAATAGCTCTTATATATAAAGCGCTCTCTTATACACGAGTGTCTCCCTGGATTTGTTTCTCTAGTCAACCAGGATTAACACACACTCCATTGTCATGCACCTCTGCTCCCGAGTGGAAATCCTGGGGACTTCCCAAGGAGCCAAGACATCCCTGTAGAAGCCTTGATCCTTTTGGGAAGTGTGAGCCTACTGTAAGGATCCAGGGTGGCCCCACTGTCCCCCTCCTGCTCGCTCCAAGGGGGAAGGTACCTGCTGCTGGAGAACCGGTGGGAGGGAGGAGTCTAGGACTTACCACCTGCAGAAGGGCCAGGTACCCGGCTCCCACATTGTCAAAGTTGACTTTCACTTTGGTCCAGTAGAGCTCGCCGGTCACATTGAAGGACTCACACTCGCTCTTGTTGTTCACGAAGGTGTAGTTCAGAGGCAGGTCTCCCTCAGTCTGGTTGATGCACTTCCCAAACTTGCCGGCAAAGAGATTCACGCCCATGATGCTGAAGATGAGCCAGAAGATGAGGCAGACCAGGAGGACGTTCATGATGGAGGGAATGGCACCCACCAGGGCGTTGACCACCACCTCGATGGGCAGAGAAGAAGCTCAGCTCCTGGGGGAGCCTGGGGATACCCCAGACCCTCACTCCACTCCCACCAAGTGAACTCCCCGAGGAGAGGTCTCTAGGGTGGGAGGTCTTGAGGCCATGGATGGAGGGAAACACTTCCTACCCTGAGGAGAGGCTGTCTTCATGGCTGGGCGGTTGGGTGGGAAGTGTGGGCGCCCACGAGACCTTCTCTGTGCCACCCTAAGGCCAGCTGAGATTCCAGGGCAAACGCCCTTCTCTATGGGCCCTTCCTTGAATCCATGACTGTCAGACTTCATTCCAGCACAGAAAGGAAAGAGACCTCTGGAGACACGTTCCTCATACTCGGGGCTGCCTACCAATTCCGTCAGGCCTGTCTTTCCCTGAGCTCCATTTCTGGCACATTTTATGGTAGCTTAAAGCACCCAGAGGTCTCTCTGTGGCAGTGTCTGGGGGAACCGGCAGTCCTGCCGTGCCTCACAGGGTTCCCTGTGTGCCTCTCCCTATAGACACCATGGAGTCAGGGCCTCACACACACCATCTGAAATCACAGCACCCAAGGGAGGCATCTTAGGCGAATGCAGTTGGGAGCAATGCAGTTCACTCATGTTCCTAGCTGTCCAGGCATCAGAGCGTGAAGGTGGGTGTGGACTATGGCGTGCAGCATGCAGCGGGTCTTGGTGTTGGGAGCAGGGTATTGCCGGCACATGCAAAGGAGGCGGCTCAGCAGCCCTGGTCCAATGGAATAGCACGGGACACCTAAGCCTCAAGGGTTCTGAGCTTTGGGGCGGGTGGAAGGCCCTGGGTTAGCCTTGGTGGCCAGCAGTCACAGCGGGGGCCATCCTGGCAAGTCGATTCCACTCCTGGTCTTTCTGGAAGCAGTCTGTCCTCGCCCCCCAAAGGCACATGTGTGTAGTTCAAGTGATTCGCTTGCTGATGCTTTCCCACCAGGAACAGGCTTGTGTTTCTCCATGATGCAGGGGGTTTGGGCAAAGTCCAATCAGCCAAACAAATGGCGGGCTATGATCGTGCTTGTTGGGCCTGTATGTGAGGGAGATGCTGAGTCTTCTGCAGCTGCCTGGTGATGGGCCCGTTTCACCAACGAGCTGCTCATGTAGGCAAGTGTGAGCGCGCACGCACGCGTGCACACATACACACTCTCACACACGCACACTCTCTCTGTCATACACACACTCTCTCACACACACATATACTCTTGTGTCACACACACACACACACACACACAGTTTGTTTTCCAACTGTAGACAGCATGGCCACTGTTTCCCTAGTTAGGCTCTTTTATTTGCCTCATACGCACATGTTCTTGGTTGAAATTTGGTCATTTGAGAAATGCACTGAGAAAACAGTACCACCCAGCTTACTAAGTTTACAAATGACCATGGCAACCTGCAAACTGCTATGCAGGAAGAGAAAACTGCTCGCCGTGTGGCCCTGTCTGCTGGCTGGCTGTTCTCATCACAGACAGCCCGCCCCACGGCCCCTCACATCCAGGAGAGGGGCGGGGCACTCTGTGTCCACCAGACTGGCCAGGTGCATATGGGCACAGGGGGTGGAGAACCCAGAGATGAGGCCTCAGGGACAGGAGGTGGGTGCTCCCCGGGTGCTGGTGGGGCTGGAGGTGTTGTAGAGATGTGTGTCTCTGGTGAGCTCTGTTTCCTCTTCCTTGTCTAGTGCCCTCCCAGACTAACCTGGAGCTCCCTACACCCCAACCAGCTCCAGAGATTCCGGCCTACGGTCCTACCTCATTAGGCAGGGATACACAGGGCTGGGCTGGGCTGGGCTACCTGGTCAGCAAGCTGAGTCTGGGGACCCCCTCAGAGGAACTCGCACAACCCCCCACTAGGAAGCAACAGTCCCTTCTTACCCGCATGCCTTCGAATCGTGACAAGGCTCGCAGGGGGCGGAGCGCACGTAGTGTTCGCAGCGACTTGATGGGGCCCATCTCAGCAAAGCCCAGGGTGTTTGCCACCAGGCTAATCAGTGAGACCTATGGGAGGCAGAGGTGGGGAGTGGGGTTGGGCCCTGCTCGCGTAGAGCCACAGGACTACTTCTTGCTGGCCCCTCTTCATCACTCCAGGGCTGGGCCATCACCTCAGGCCCACCAGGCACTCCACCAAGCTTCCTAGACCACCGGTTCTCAACCTGTGGGTTGCAACCCCTTTGGGGGTGTCGAACGATTCTTTCACAGGGGTTACCCGATTCATAACAGTAGCAAAATGACAGTGGTGAAGTAGCAATGGAAATCATGTTATGGTTGGGGGTCACCACCACATGAGGACCTGTATGAAAGGGTTGCGGCATGAGGAAGGTTGAGAACCACTGTCCTAGACCCAGAGGCCAGGGACAAGTCCAGGTGTGCTGGGCCCACCACATACCTGCTCTGCAGGCGCTCCATGGACCCAAGACGCAGTAACGCGCCACCCTCATTCTACAGACAAGAGAACCAAGGCGAGGCCCTGGGGTCAAAGCCTGGCTTTCTGTCCTGTGCATGTCGCTTCAAGTCACATTCCTGGGTCTGCCCTTGCATGCCTTGGAAGAGGCCTTTCTCAGGGCAGGAGAGATGGTCTGGCGTGGGCATGAGCACAGGAATACTCCTGGGGTGTTTCCCCCCCCAAATGGCCCACCATCTTCCGAGGAGGGAAGGCACAGGGAGGGTGTGGGGCATTTCCACATCATGGGGTCTACTCGAAGGGAGCTCCCTGGACGGCAATCACAGGTGCAAATGCCCCCTGCAATCACTGTTAACCCCTCCCTGGGCTCAGGACGGCTGTGGGGGAGGTAAGAGGGAGAAGCAAGGCCGAGTCCCACGGCCTCCTCCCAGGGCTCGCAGAGGGAAGCCAGCTGGAGCAACCTGTGCGTGGCTCTACGGGGCCCCCCCAAACAAGTCTCTCAGGGGCACACCTCTCCATGGCAGGGCCCAGGGTCCCCCCAGCCTGCCCACCCTGTTCTTGGCAGGGCCTCCTGGTGCCTTCTCTGCTCCATCCGAGCCCGCCCAGCTGCTACACACACACACACACACACACACACACACACACACACGCACACGCACACGCAGGGCCTCCCACGGCAGTGACAGCCACCCTCCCTTCCCGGTGCTCGGGTCTCAAGCCTTGTTGGCATCATCCCTGCCTCCTCAGGGTTTCCTGTGGGCTCTGCCTTCACACTGCAGCCCACGTCCAAACATCCCCCACTACAACCCTGCCCACCCACCATCCTCTCTCCCCAGGATTTCTGCCACAGCCTCCCAACTCTCCCCCCACCCCCAGCTCCTCGTGGCCACCTGCCCGCCCATCCCTGCAAGCGATGCTTTAAGAATAGGAGCCCGTTCGAGACACAATGCCCACAATGATTCAATGCCCACACCTCCTCTCAAGGCTGCACGTCCCGATGCAACCTGGCCTCGTGCTCCACTCTCCCACAGCCCCGTTTGATCTGCTCCAGCCACGTGGCCTCCTGACGTGCCGCAGATGCACAGGGCCCACGCCACCACAGTTCCTTTGCCTCTGCTTGAAACATCCGGCTAGTTAGCTACCTGGCAGCCCACACGTCACCTTCTTGATGGGCTCACTCTGGCCAGCTGATCTGGAGTTAGGACCTGTACCACCTCCCTCCCTAGCCCCGGCGCCTGCTCTCCTTGCTGCCTCTGTTGTCATTTCCCCTCCATCGTCATCTGGAGGTGCCACGGAGAAAAACAGCTCACGGGAGGCCAGTTACACACAGACTCTGTTTTGTCTTTCTGCTGACAAGACACAGGGAGCTATGCTAGAGCCCCAGGGCTGGAGGAGCCACGTGGAGACCCCTGACAATGCTGAGATGCTTCCACTGCCACTGGATCCACAAGACTTCCCACCCACTGGCCTGTGATGTTCCTGCATTTGGTGTCATTGCATGTGTGCGTGAGTCTGAAGAGGAATTTATAGATTGGTATTGGACATATGGACTAATATTGGACTTAAGGACTTGATCTGGACCGGGCTGGCACGTTCTCTCAATATTCAATTGCTCTTGTGTGTAAAGCTCTCTTACACACATAGGAGTCCCTCTGGGTTTGTTTCTCCAGTCCACCCGGACGGGCACAGGTTTTCTTACCCTCACTGTCCTCCGCGCCAGGGTGCGTTCCACGTGAGCAAGGATGCTCCACGGCCCCACCCCCAGAACAACACTTGCTCACAGCAGATGCTCAGTAGTGTTCATGGAACCACAGAACCACAAAGAGGCCGTAGAAGCCTCCCTGCCCAGACCTGGCTGTGGCACCTGAAGTCAGCCTTTCCCATGAAGGGAATAGCGGGGAGCAGCTGGGCGGTGCCTGGAATGCTGGGTAGCACCCAGTTCCTGCTGCTCGGCCTCAGGCAAGCACTCTACACCCCCCACCCCCCACCCAGCCCCCACTCTGGGTCTCAGACTCCTTTCCCACAGCTTCTTGCTTCCACTCTGGGAAGGACTGAGCTCCCCAAGGTGCAGATGGGAGCTGGGTTTACCCAGAAGTCTTTGTAGGTGCCCTCTGGCATGCCATGGTGGGTGGGTGGGTGGGGGCTCCTCAGTAGGTCCAATGTCCCAAGGAGCTGCAGGAACAGCTGGACTAGGGGCCTCTGGGCCAAGCTGCTTGAACCCAAGTATCTCCTCTGTCCCCTTGGGAGAGAGGTCTTAGGGGACCTCTCCAGCATCACTTCAGGAAGGCTCTGCCTTTATCTCTGAGCCAGGCTCAGGCTGCCATGGGCATCTAGTGCCCCCGCTCCCTGTCCGCCATCTCAGCTACTGCTGGTGACAGCAAGCGGCCTGTACAGGAGGTACCCGCACCTGGACCTGCCTCACCATGTGCCACGCTCTGTCAGGGCCCTCAAAGTCACCCTTCCACCTGGGTTTGGGGGCCCGCTCTGGATCCTGGCCAGGCCTCTCGGGGCCTGCGCCCCTCTCTTTGTCCACCAAGCAGGTGGGCACAAGCCTGAACCTCTCCGGTGACCACAGGAAGGGCAGTGCCAAGCCCAGATGGAAAGTCTGTGGCAGCCCACAGAGCATGGGTGCCACGGCCCCACAATCCTCCGCAGCCTGCTATTCCTTCTATCCACGGGGAGTGCAGACTCAGGGCTGCTCCACCCTCGACCTTGGCCACTCATCTCCTGCCGACCTCCCCACCTGACTGCGCATCAGGACTCCCAAGGGTGGGACTTGTGCTCACCCTGCTTGTGCCCAGCAGTGTCCTGGGGTCTGTGCAGCTGTGAAGGAGGCAGGGGACCCTCCGCTCCATCTGCCAATCACCTGCTCCAAGAACGTGCCCACCTCTGGGCCACGCCCTTACTGGATCCCCCCCCCGGCAATCAAACTCACACAGCCCTTCGTGGGTCAGGGCAGCAGGCAACCGAGTGCCTCGGCCAGTGTCCATGGTCTTCCTCCTCCTCTCCGCAGGGGACTCCGCTCACTCTCATCCTCCCCAGCTGCGACCTGCCACCTGAGCCAGGAGGGTCTCCCTGCCTGCCTGGCATCCCTCGCCTCTGGCTGGGGCCCCAGCCACCACCCCATCCAGCAGACCCTACATGACCAGGGATGGAGCTACCACACATTCACCTCCCCCTCTGCGGCCGACTCCGACTGTGCTGTTGTGGGGAGAATCACCCCAGAAGCCTTGGGGCTCCAGAGGGCAGGACTGTCTGCCCCCTTACTGGCCTGGCTCTTTCTGACTGGGTCGGGGGTTCTCCTCCATGACCCCAGGCTCACATAGCGGCCTCTGTCCCTCTTGCCCTCTGGCCTTCCCCCGACCCCCCGGCTCCGTGCCAGGGGCGCACACTCACGTCCACGATGAGGAAGTCGAGCCAGCACCAGGCGTTGGTGAAGTACTTCTGGAAGCCGTAGGCCACCCACTTGAGCAGCATCTCCAGCACGAAGATGTAGGTGAACATCTTGTCGGCGTACTCCAGCAGCACCTTGACGGTCTTCCGCTCCTCCAGGTAGATGTCCTCAAAGGCCTGTGGGCAAGGTCGCACAAGGACACAGCCCCCTGATCCCCTGGCTCGGGGCGGCGGGGACCCCCCCCCCCTTTGTGGTGTGTGAAGTGGTCTTTGGTGGGACGCCCAGAGTAAGGCCGGCCTCAGTTGACCAGTGTGTCCCCGCACACCGAACCACGCTCACTGACAGCAAGTCGGTGCCGCCCAGTGACCCCCAGGCTGCTGACTGGCCTAGAGAGCCCAGACTTCCTCCCAAGGAGCTGCTGGTGCTTTCAAACTGCTGACCACGTGGACCGTGGCCCCACGGCCCCACCAGGGCTCCCTTAAGACGGCTCACACCTTGCCGAACAAGCTTTGAATCTTGAGGAGGACAGGCACGCAAGCGCGGCTCGCTGCCTTCTGCTTGTTCTATTGTGGTGGCTATTCGATTGTGTTCACTCAACTTGACCTTCTACAGGAAGGTGAGGTGCTGTGGAGTTGATTTCTACTGGCACGACCCCATGTGCTCCCCCCCACCCTCACAGTTATCATTGTATTTGAGCCACTGTGTCGATCACCCATCTTGGTGCCAGTCTCCCAGGATATACATTTAGAGGCTACTGGCAGTGCGAATGGTTCTCACTGGTCCCAACGACTAACTGGAAGGTTGGTGGTTCAAGCCCCCCTGGAGCAGCTGGGGAAGAAAGTTCTCCCAGGCTGCTTCTGGAAAGATGCTGCAGCCAGTGGCTGTGGAGGCAGTTCCGGTTCACAGTGCCCCAGGCACAGCAAAAGGAAAGGCTGCCCGGTCGGTCCTGCACCATCCTCACCATCGCCATCCTCACCATCGTTGCTATTGCTTCATCCCAATCCATCGAGGGAGGGTCTTCCTCTGGTTTGCTTTACGGAAGCTGCTGCCCTTTTCCGAAGCACACGAGGCAAAGTCTCACCCTCTAGGGGACACCCTGACTGTACTCTCTCTAAGGCAGCCCTTCTCCTGGCGGCCCACGGTTCCGGCACGATTCTTTGCCAGCACGGTGGTGCAAATGCATCGCTCTTCTGAGATCTTCCTGTCCGCGTTCAGCTGTCACCCGCATGGGAGGCGACTGAAGGTTACGGTCAAAAGAACAAAACTCAAAACAAAACAAAACAACCCCGACCTCGGTTCACCTCTGACACCGGGCGCCATGAGTTAATTGACTCAAAGGCAAAGGGGCCCTTTGTTAGCACACTTTCTTTAAACCAGCCCAAACCAGCGAGCCAACTTAAAAGCCGAATTCTAAATACACGATAGGAAAGGCCGTTTGCAGGCAGGAAGCTTTGGAAACACCGGGCTAGTTCGATGAAGTCAAATCTCTTCCAATTCTCAGAATCTCTCCCTCACGGTCCCTAAGTGCTAAAAGTTGTCTTTCTCCATCTCTGTGTTTCCACCTCAACCCACAGGCCCAGAGGCAACCAGAGATCCCAGCAGGTCCCAGCGGCCTCTTCCGCCTCCAGCGTCTCCATCCAGCTTCTGGTTGTACCTGTTCCTCCCCAGCCAGCGGGTGCTCTGTGGCTCCCAGGCCAGGTAACTACACACGTCAGTGAGGGCCCCCGGGGCAAGGGGAGGGGGAAGCCTCCGGCCTGTCACTCCTGGGCCTCCTTGTCTGGCCACAGCAAGCCAGTGCCAGGAGGACACATGGCTGATGCACATCAGGGCCAAGGTGGCCAGAGAAACAGAGCAATTCAAGTGCCCCCACGGGGCCATGAGAGTTGTTCAAGATAGCATGCTTTCTTCCACTTTCCCCCCGGATTATATAAAGGATTGCCAAAAAAAAAAAAGACTAATGACATCGGAGCTATGAAGAAGAAAGTAAAAGTTGCCTCTCATTTCATGATGCCAAGTAACGAGTAACATTAAGATGGGTGGTCCTCAACCTTCCTAATGCCGCGACCCTTTCACATAGTTCCTCATGTGGTGGTGACCCCCCCCCCCAACCATAACATTATTTTCGTGGCTACTTCATCACTGTCATTTTGCTTCTGTGATGAATCGGGCGACCCCTGTGAAAGGGTCGTTCGGCCCCCAAAGGGATTGGGACCCACGGGTTGAGAACTGCTGCCCTAGATAAGTCCACTGCAAACCTTGGGCACTGAGTCACGTGGATACATACACGGACACGCAGCATTCTTCCTAAAGGCTGCGTTATTTGCATAGAGTATAATGGTGGACCTGTGGGTAAGCGGTTCGGGTGGTTAACTGAGAGGCTGGTGGTTCAAATCCACCGATTGCCTTGTGGGTGAGAGAAGAGGCTGTGTGCTCCAGTCAAGACGGGCGGCACTAGAAACCCCATCTCTGTCACTGTGGTTCAGCATCAACTTGATGGCAAAGGATTATAAGGGATTTTGCCAATTACCCTACTGTCAGACATCTGAGTCACTTTCAAATGATTCCTAATAAAAGCAGTGTTGCTGTGAATAACTTTATTTCTTCTATTTCGTGGTTTCATTGTTAGACATAATTTTAAAAAATCTCATTAGGAGTAAATGCTTATTTTGATACATTCTTCCGAGCGGCTTGTCAACTGTTCCAATGTTAACGCTCCAAACCCACTGATGAGAATTCAACTCTATACCATCTTAAATTGCTGCATTTACTTTTCTTGATTTCAGACCTCTGTGCACAGTCCCCTGCCCTCCCTCTGTGCCCTCCTGGGCGAGCAGGAGTACTAGCAGAACAGGGGAATGAATTTCCCTCATCGTTTTCGGTCACTTTTCTGAATGAGCTTTAAACATTTTGTCTAATTCTCTCAAAAATATTTAAAAATGTTTTATTGCTATTGCTCTGAATGTATCGACTGCGTTAGGCACGGATACAGCCCAAGATCAGAGAACATGAGGGTAAATCACAGAGCATTGCTGAGAAGTCGAGAAACCTTTAGTAAACAATATCAAAATGTGATGCTACTGTTTCTCAACATATCCTCCGAAGGCTGACTTTCCATCTCTCTCCCCAAGAAGTCTGCCTCCTGTGGTGGACACCTTGTCAAATGGCCATTTTCACAACCTCGAGGGACTCAAGCTGCGTACCTTTTTCAATGTTCTTTGAGTTTGGAGAGAACAATAAGTTTAGAGGGGCAAGTTTGTAGGCTGGACGGGATCAGGTTTCCCAGTGAAATTTCCATAGGACAATCCCTGCTCCCTCAAAAACTGAGCAAGTGGATTGTCATGATGGGGTAAAAAAGGGAGGGGGGCCTCAGCTCAACTTTCTTGGCCTTTTGCTCACCAATGCAGTTTTCAATGTTCTGAAAACGTCTCCCTAATAATCCCCTGAGATCATCTTGTATCTTTGGAGGAGGAATTCTATCATGATGACCCTTTGGGATCCCCGAAATCGTCCTCATAACTTTCTGAGCTGGCTCTCGGATTCGACTTGAACTGGCTCCACAGAGCCCCTCAGAAGACACTGTTTGGATTAGACCTTGTGTTTGAAGGTGCCCCGAGGAGACGATGACAAATGTTTAACTGGGAGAACTTGGCTACAACAAGCACAGACTGCAGAGATGTGTGTTTAAACACATTTTGTTGGAATAAGCCCATTTATGGTAAGGACTGGAATCCTAGAAGCAGTATCTTTTAACTTACCCACACCTATTTCTATATTTGTTTGTCTTCTTTTACTATCCAACAGAAGAATCTTACTGTTTTCATCATGCACCTCTTCTACGTACATTTCTTACGGTATGTATTTCCAGTTATTGCATATTCACAATGCCTGGAGTGTAAGGAATATATCTGAGAACTGCTGCTCAGGATTAAATGGCCCTGTCCGTATAAAAAAGTTATATATGCTTTATAACTGGCCATACAATGATTTTAATAGGTTTAAACTTTTCCTAGGCCATCATATTATCTACAGATTATATTTCTATTTGTTTCCATTATTTTAAGTTATTTTATAACTCTTGGTTAACTATATTAGCTTGAATTTCAATTAATCTCTTTCCTAACTTTATAGTGCGTGGTTCATTTTCTTGGTTAATTACGCTGGCGAGCACCCCAAGGATAATATTAAATAATGAGCAACAACTAAATAGTGGCTTAATCATTCTTTTTCTTATTCCTGACTTTAATGAAAATATTTCAACTGTTTTACGACTAATGATGATAGAAGTTAATTGAGAGATAAAATTTTCACTAAATTACGGGGAACCACTTTTGCTTCTATTCTTAGCCGGATATTAAAAAATCAGGCTTTATTTTCATTTTTTTCCATCTTTGTCCCACTCACATAATGAGGTGCCATTATGACATTTAGAAAAGACGAAGCTATGACAGATTTTGGGGTTTTTTTTAACATGTATTGCTGGATCCTATTTGCATGCATGTCTGCATCAATATTCATCAGTATGGCGTGCACAAGGATGGCTTTCCTGGGGTATATTTGGGATTTTTTCTTTTAAAAAAGCTTATTATTTAATGTAAATTGGGTGAAGGATTAAGAGGAGCTTAGTTTTCCTTTCAGCTCATAGGCACTTTGCTTCAGTCATTAGCGACAGGCCCGGCAACGGACCATCGCTTATCCCTTCCCACTTCCTCCCTGGGCTTCCTGCTTCCATTGCTCCTTTCCTAACCCTTCTGGAAGTTGTCTTTGGCAAATGCTGCCCTTTGGGTAGACAATGATTATTCTAAGGTGTGCACATCTCCCTAGGTGATTGTTCCCTTCCCAGCTCTATTGTTTGGCTGGAATTTGAGCCACAGGCGAGACTTCAGTTCTAGACGTGAAGGTCCAGAGTCCCGTGGGGTGGGGGTGGGGGGGTGGAGGCTCATCATGATCTAATTTAACTAATACGCCTTTTATAAAATTATGATCTGAGTTTTATTCCACATGATTTTCTCCCTCTAACCAGGTACTTCTAATTTAACTCCTGTCAGGGCAGTTAGCAGAGCTGCCCGTTGGTGCTGGGCACCCTCAGTTCTGCTGGCTTCAGGGTCATGGAAACTAATGTTCACACAGCTCATTAGTCCTTTGTACAATTGCTTCAGCATGTCTTCAATTCTCAGCACCCTTCCTTCCTCTGGACAGGGAGAGACCAATAGTTCTCCCTTAGACAGGAACTCAAGAACTTTGAAGATCCCGGTGGCTACCCATGAAAGTAGGGTGGAAAACACTGTCGTTGTCAACTGAGTTCTGCCGACTGACTTTGGTGTCCTGAGCCCCGATCTCAGCGACTCATTCCACATGTTTGAGGCTTTTGAAATCAGCATTACTTAGCTTTCATAAGAAGAAAATATAGGCCTTCCATATGTTTTAATATACTACTTTAAGGGGTCCCTGATGGCAGAGTGGGTTATGTGTTGGGGAGCTAACCCCAAGGTCAGTTGTTTAAACCATCGGGCACTCAGAGGGAGAGAGATGGAGGCTTCCACGCCTACAGAGATTGACAGTCTTGGAAACTCACAAGCGCAGTTTTATGCTGTGTTTGGGTTTTGCTATGCGTCGAAATTGACTCAATGGCAGTGAGTGAGTGAGTGGAGTATTTTCAGTAGAATTATAAATATTTTCTTTCTTGAGAATTTGAAATAACCCACTCTTGGAGATAAGTTAAGCCAGTGGAATTCTATATCAGTGCTACCATTGCCTAATTTATTATGTTTTTATTTTATTGGTTGTTTTCTTAACATGGTGACATTTAAAATGTATGATGTTATATTTATTATTAATTGTATAATATTGTCATTATTAATTTAAAATTTTAATTAGTCAAATGGTTACATTTTTAATTTCTTGGATTAAAAAACTTATTTATACATCCCTATTTAGTAATACTCAGCATGCTTAGAAATTTATGACTTGTCCTCTAATTACATACAGCTTTGGTTGCTTCCATATGCAATATTTTCATTATTATTTTCCAATCACATTTTTCTCTCCTCATTTTTCTAAGTGGACTGAATGGGCCGGCTTACAAGTTTTCATTTTCAACACACTATAAACATTTATTAGACCATAAATGGACCTCTTTATTTAATTACATTTCTCATGGCTTTTGCTTGACACATCTGAGTATTATGACATGTCAAGCAAAAAGATTCATAGTCGTGATATCGGTAAAGTTAGAGGACTCTCTATAGTGATGTAGCTGTAGTCTGCACAGAAAAGGACTGTCATTTCAACGTTCCACCCCGAAGTCAACCTTGTGTAATATTCATCTCAGGCCCCTCGTTGTTACTGCTTCCATTTGCCTGATTAATTGTTTCCCCCATGATTTCACTCTCAGTATGTCTGAACCATGTCATTCGAGGGTACAAACCAGGCTTCCTTTTGTTAACCAACTCAGAGTCCCTTTCTTCTAAACGGTGAATCTTACCCAGTTACATTTATTATTGAGACATGTTCGATTTGGCTTCTGCCACATTGGCTTCTGTTTTCCTGCTTCCTGCCAGTTTACTCCCCCCCCACCCCTGCCCCCTGCCTTCTGCTGTAAGGTTCTGTTTTCCTTTAAAAACACAAAAACCGTCAGCAGTTTGGAAGGGATCGCTTCTGTTTTGTGTTAAGCAGGCTTCTAACTTTAAACTATACACTTGGACTTCTGTTTCTCGATATATCACTGACGTGGTTTCTTAACAACAGTGCTTGGCTGTCTACCCTGATTAGATTCACCAGGTGCTTGCCAAAACTCCTCTTCACTTATGCCAGGCTGAGCGTCTCCTCCACAGCCCAGACGAAATGGCTCTTGCTGCCCTTGTTTGTGGCTGTTTAGAAACAAAATTTGTTAACATATTGTCAAACCACCCATGTCAGAAGCCTACGGAGGTTCAGCTGGTCTAGCTGCCAATGGTGTAACAGCAGGCAGGCTGTAAGTCGTGGCTCCAGGCCCACTCAGGCACAGGGGAGGAGAGGGCTGGGTGGGCGGCCCAGAGGCTTGACTGACAGCCAGGGGGCCTCCCCGCGGCCTGCCCCCCTGGGGGAAGTCAGCACAGAGTGAGGCACACAGCCTCTCCCACTCCATGGTCCAAACCCTTCTCTGTTACTTTCTCACCCATAGGAATCTCGCCTATGAGTTGCTCACACGACCTGGGCCAGAAATGTATCTAGTTCGATTCTCTTCTCAATTGCCGCTCCCATAGACCAATTTGCACTTCCCAGAATCCTCTCCAGTACTGTCCGATTATCTGGAGATGGACTTTAGAGGTCCGAGCAGGGGCCTGGGAGGCATGTGGGGGTACTCCTGGAAAGCCCCTTTGCTTCTCAGAACACCCTTCATGGTCCAGCTCGATTTGCTTCCTCCAGGGGGGTTTCTTGGATTGCTCCTGCAGGGGTGGTCTGAGGTCACTGGGAAACACCAGTCCTTACTCAACTCTCTCTTGTGCTGGCCTCTGTCTCCCACCTAGTGAGTCCAGCTCCCCCACTAGCCGGGGAGCCACCAAGTCGGGGCTGAAGTCTTCTCCTCCTAGTCCCGGACCGTGGCTCACAGGCCTCCATCCACACAAGTTTAGAAAAGATGTGCTGAACAGAGGGAAGGCCCAGAGAAGCAAAACGAACCCAAACCCACTGCCTTTGAGTCAATTCTGACTCACAGCGACCCCACCGGTGACCAGAACAGCTCCATAGCGTTTCTGAGATTGCAAACTGGATGAAAGCCTGGCTTTTCTTCTGTGGTGCTTCTTGGTGGGGTTGAACGGCCAACCTTCAGGTTAGGTGTCAAGGGCCAACCATCGGGAACTCCAGAATCCATCTACTTGAGTTCAAATGCCAGGTCCGCCTGTAGAAGGTGACCGGCCTTACACAAGTTGCTCAATGTGGCCACAAAGAGTTGTGGGCATCGAATGCAATAAGGTGTGGAATGAATAGCATTGCCCCACCTTGAGAAGGAAGACATGCCAGGTGTGTCCCTGTCAGGAGCCGCCAGTGTTGTTAGTTACACGCTCGGGGTCCCGACAGAGCCCCAGACGCTGTGGGCAAGTGGATGTGTCACCAGAACACTGGTGACCTGCACCCTTTGTCAGCAGGGATCGTGATCTCGGGCAAACCATGTCCTTTCTGTGGAACTAGGAGGCTGGGCAGGCGACCCTCTGGGCTCTGCCGGCTGGCCTGTGCGCGCGCTGTGCGTACAGAGTGTCTCATGTTCATTCAAGCTCTGGGACTTGGGGGAGCACGTTTTCAGCAGAGGCTCTGATCTGGCCTGGCTGTCTGCCTGGGCCCTCCCATTCCCACCCTTTCTGCTCCCTCCCCACCCAGCCCTGCAGCCCCTGCAGGGGTACCAGCGCTCCGCTGCTGAGCAGGATCATGAAGATGATGAAGCTCTCGAACCAGCTGTGCTCCACGATGCGGTAGCAGGTCTTTCGTAGCCGCCACCAGACCTTCCCTGGGGTTTGTGTGGTGTCCACTGCACAGCAGGGACAGCGCCGGACACAGCCTGGGGAGGGGAGGGAAAGAGGGGGTGGATGGATACATGAAGTTTGGGGGAGGTAGGTTTCAGGCCAGGGTATGCCAGTGCCCATGTCTGATGGCACAGAGCTAGACAACTGAAGCAAAGACTAAGAGTAAGAGGCGGCAATTGATGGGCTCACAGACAGAGACATGGAGGCAGGGCCTGGTGTGCTGTCCCTGGGGATGGAGCAGTCAGCGGGGGGCTCCCTGGACAGATCAGATAGACAAGGCCCCATGGAGAGGACCTGGCCTGGCAGGTCTGGGTGGGGCAGGGCCGGAGTTGGGAAGGATTCATCTGGGGAACCCTCCTTGGGGGACGCTCAGGAACTCAGCTGCTGCGTTCCTGAGACTTCTACATGTTAGCCAGGTCTGAGCCTTGGGAAGGGTGGACCTCTGACTAGTAGCCCCTGCTGAGGTGCCAGGTGGTGGGCAAGTCCCCATTTGACCCACAGCGCCCCTCCAAACACAACACCAGCTCATAAAGGCCCCAGCAGTGTCCCCAACCACCCACCTCCTCTGTGTGCTGGGTGTCGTGGCCGGGCCTGAATGCGCAGGGCCCGCCTGCGGGCCATAGACATGCTGTCACAGCACAAAGGCCGCACCAGCTGTCCTCGGTGCAGCTGGCCCAGGGCCATGCTGACTCCTGCACTGTGAGCAGACTGGCCACAACCCCGCCCACCGCCAGGTGAGGGAGGAACCCCCAGGGGCAGTAAGGTGTGAGACTGGCGGCCAGGGTGGGTACTGGGCTGGGCTGGAGGGCTGCCCAGGGTGGGGGGTTACCTTCAGTGAAGCAATCCTCTGGGTCCTTGACATCCTCTCCCAGGTCGGGGATCTTCTCCAGGAGGTCAGCAGTGTTGGTCATGTCTGCTGTGCTGCCCTCTGAGAAACTGTCTTCATGGGTCTGCTGGGGGGTGGGGGTGGGGGTGGGAGTGGAGACACACACACACATGGGGTGAGGGTAGCCCCCAGTCTGAGGAACCTGAAGCTCCCCAAGGGGGTGCCCAGCCCCTCTCCACTGTGCATGCTGGGAACCCGGCTGAATGGACGGGCAGAGAGCTTCCACAGAGCCTCCCAGGGCCCATCAGGGCTGAGCCGAGGCTTGGCCGCAGGGCTCTTCTGCCTCGGGGGCCTGGCTCTGTGACTCTGGTCTGCGGGAGTCCAGGGCAAGGGTGCGAGTCCCAGGAGAGGATTTGGGAGGAAGCAGTGAGGCAGCACGGACACACTGGGGCATGGACGTGTGGACACTGGTGCAGGCAGTGGAAAGGGGCGAGCCGGGCCAGGGACACGGCCCATTCACAACAGAACTGGCACCAGAGTCATGAGCACACAACAGGCAGCGGGGTGAGGTGTGCAAGGGAACAGGCCAGCCACTGCACCCACACTCCCAGGGGTCCAGTTTGTCCCGGTGCTGGCAGGAGATGCTCATCCCAGGGCAAGCCTTAAAGGGTGCTAGAATTTCCCTGCCTAGCCACGCAGGGGCCTGCTCCCCATGACCCTACATGACCCGAACTGGGTTCTAGGAAGGTGTGCGCACATGGTGGTCCCCGGGGCGTGTCTGGATTCATCACGTGTGAGCATGAGTGGCCAGGGGTGTGGCAGGGTCCCTGGCCCTGGGGTCAGTGCACCCACTGCTGGCTGGCTGCTGTGAGCATCGGCTGCTTTGCTGCCCGCTTCTCCAGAAAAATTGCTTTTCGCTCAGAGAGCCGCCTCTCCTGGAGATGCTTCTGGGGTTTTGACCCACACCCAGCCAGGGAAGGGCAGGCCTGGGGACTCCAGAAGGCGGGCCTCTCGCCTTGCATCGAGACAGCATGCTGGGGCGACTTCAGCGAGAGAGGCCTGGGGGTTCCAGGCTGAAGTGAGACTTGAGCCAACACCCCTTCTTGTGCAGCCTTCTCCACGTGCCTTCCCCCGCTTCTCCTCCGGCCTGCTAGGTCTCTCCTGCAGGTCTCTCCATTGGGACTATCAGTCCAGTCTCAGGCTCGGCTTCTTCCCTCTCCTCACCCCGTGTCTCCACCACCCAACCTCGACTGGTCCCATTTCGCCCTGGCCCAGGACCCAACTGCCTGCATCCTTGGCCGTCAACTCTGTTCTCTTCCTGCAGGAAGGAAAGCATTCCCGGATGTGGCCATGTCCTCTTCCCTTCCCTGGGAGGTTCGGGATGGAGAAGGGGCTGGGTTCTGGTGGGAAAGGAGAAACAGCCCCTCGGGCAGGCTGGGGGTGACACTTGTCCCCTCCCAGCACTGTGGTGACAAGCACAGGCTGAAGGAGGTCTGCACACAGCTTTTCTTTTTGGACACCGGAGCCTCCGCGGCGCTGTGGGATGGACGTGCAGGAGGCGAGGGGCCGAGGACATAGCCCCTGGCTGCGGGAAGTGGTTCTTCTCCCTGGAGGCTACAGCCACCCTTCCCCTTTGATACGTCCCCCACAAGTTGGCTGCAAGTCTTCACGAAACGTTTCAGTCGGTGAGCGAGCCCCTCCTCTCCGGCCTCTTTCCAGCCTCTTGCTAGCCCTTCCTGTTCCCCACAAGCATCCCTGAATCAGGCCATCTAGGGGGACAACTGTGGCCTGCACCATCAGGTCAGTGACTCCACTAGGCCATCTTCCTCCAGTCTGGGCCACGGTGGCAAAACCTCTGAAGTGACGATGTGATGTAGTGAGGCTGCTTTGTAGTAAGTCACAGCTCCCGGACGAAGGGGGCGACCAGGCCTCTCAACAAGGACCTTGACCCTCACTGCAGCTTGACGTGAGTGGGGAGCAGGGAGGACACAGACGTGCCTCTTGTCAGCAGGGCCACGTCCCTTAGCTCAGGGCTGGCGCGCTCAAATGCTTCAGAGGCCCAGGCAGGGCACAGAATAAAGTCTGGCTGGTAGGACTGGGGGCAAATGAGAGAGCGCGGTCAGGGTCTAGCAAGGGGTCACCACATGTCCCCAGTAGGGCAGCTCCTCTTCCAAGTTTGCAAGGGAAGCTGCAAATGCAGACTTTGATATTGGAACTTGGGGTTTCAAGGGACGTGATCTGGTGGTGCAGTGGTTAAGCGCCGGGCTGGCCATCTCCCGGGGAATGAATGGCGAGCCCAGTGAGGGGAGGCCGTCTGCTTCTATCACGGCTCCAGCCTTGGAAACACAGCAGTTGTTCTGCTCCATCTCCTGGGGTCTCTATCAGAGTTGACTCGGCAGTGGTAACAGGTCTGGCTTGAGCGTCTGTAGCTAATGCCAATGGAGGTTTCTTGGTGACCAGAACAAAAGCTGAAGGAAGGTGGGGTGGGTCCTACTGGCCGCCTCTGCTTGAGTCCCAGTGAGAAGCAGCTGGCGGTCACCTGCCAGGCACAGGTTCTCTGAGCTCCCCTCGACCTCTCCCCGGCTGGGGCACTTCCGGGGACAACGATTTGCCAGACTGGGGACCAAGACAAGGACAGGTGAGAGTGCAGGGGGCCGGGTTAGTGCTGCACCTGTGTCCTGGGCTGACTGCATCCACAGTTGGCCCAGAGGCTCTGGGCCCCAAGCCGTCCCTCCCCTCTGTAGACGGGCTCCCACCCCATCTGCCACGTGGAGTGCAGCTCCCACCAGCACATGCAGGTGTGCAGCCGGGCCCTCTCACAGGTGTGCTTTACCTCCGTGCACCCTGGGGTGGGGGGCTCTGCTTCCCGCTGTGGCTGCCCCTCGGCCTGAGCCGCGTGGGCCTCGGGCTCAGAGGAGGCGGTCTCTGACACCTGGCTCCAGGCCCTGGGCTCTGGGGGTGTCTCTGGGCCGGCCGACACAGGCTGGGATTCCTGCTGAAGAGACCCCAGCCCATGAGCTGACCCCACTCACTTGGCCACAGGGCCCCCAGGGCCATCTGAGGCCTGGCCTTCTGGCCCCTTCCTGGGGCCTCCGCGTCCATGGAGACCCCCTCCCTCCTTCAGGAGGTTCCTGGTGGGTCCAAGGAAAGGGCCTTTCGCCAGCCAGCCAGCCAGCCTGGCAGGGTCCCCTCTGAGCCCTACCACTCCCTGGAAGGGGACAGCTGGGCCTCCATGCCCAGGTCATGTATTTGGAGAGCTCCACTTCAGAAGGACAGGCTGACTTCGCTCATGAGTTCCCATGGCACTTCCTGCTTCCCTGGGAACGTTCTCTCTCTCTCCTCTCTCTCTCTCTCTCTCTCTCTTGCTCGCTCTCTTTGCCCCTGGCTCCTGGGAGCCAACAAGCCCAAGAGAAGGGAAGGAGTTGCTGCCGGAACTGCTCCTGTGCCCCGGGAGACCCTGCAGGGAATTAGAAGCCGTGGTCCTGGCAACGCCAATTTCCCCCTCCACTCCCACCCCTGCTGACACTGCTGCCTCCTCTTGCAGGGTGGGGGCTGCCCCCTGGGACTGGGGAAGGCAGGGAGATGGGCTCCCACGCTTGCAGGAAGTGGGGCTCTCACAGCCTGGCCTCCCTTGTGTGGCCCGGAGGAAGCTGCCAGGCCAGGCGGGGGCCCAAGGGAGCCCAGAAGGCCACTCCTTATGCTTGACCTAAAGACATGGGAGCAGCCCTTGAGCCCGGCTCAGGCCAAGGGGAAGCTGGGGGTGGGGATGGGGGTGGGGGACAGCACTGTCTGTTTCATCCAGACTGGTTTCAAGTGTTAAAAATAACAGGTTAGGAGATAAGATAGTGCCGTCTCTGACACTTCCGTCTTGGGGAAGCTTATTTTTAAATCTCGGAATGAGCCCTGGGTGTTGGAGGAGGGGAAGGGGCAGTGGGGAGGTCAGGGGATGATGGCTCCCCTCCCTTACTATGACAGTCTGCTGGGCTAGTCCTAGAGGAGGAGACCCCGGTTAGGGTGGGGGCTGGCCCAGGGCTCCAGGTTCTGCCCCAGACTCAAGGGGAGCTCCTACCAAGCCTCTCTTCCCATGCCTCAGTTTCCCCCTGTCTGCACAGTTAGTCATCTCTTGCAACACGCCCTTCCCAAGTCCCCTCCTGGACTGGATTAGGGAGGGAGGGCTGGGGGCTGTTCTCAGCATCTGGGAGGCTGGCAGGGAGGCCCGTCACCACCCTCACCCCACCCCACCTCCCGCCAATGCTGAGGTTCAGCTACACTGAGTGTCCAGGTAGCCACGCCCTGGCCCCTGGACACACTGCTGGCTGGGGGCTCACCTGCTTGCTGGACCCCTCCTCTGTACCCAGGCTGTTTTCCTCATCGTCCTCTTGGTCATCGGTGTCCGACTCAGCCACAGCGATGGGGACACACACGGGCTCTGGGTCCCCAGGGCTGCCCTGGCCTGGCCGGTTGCCTTCCTCAAACCGTGTCTCCTTGCGGGCTGGGGGTGCCTTCCCTGCCTCTGGGGGTGGGGGTGAGCCGGAGGCAGCAATGCAACTGGGAAGCCGGGCCCGGGGGGCCAGGACAGCTGGCTTCTGTGGCCGCTGGCTCAGCAGCCCCCAGCAGAAGTCCCAGGTGGCCCTCTTGACGAAGCGCAGGCCCCTCTGGATGCGGGCCAGGGCCAGCTGGAGGTTGTTCATCTCGCCGTCCTCGTCGGGGGCCGTGAGGTTGTCGGCGCTGAAGGAGCTGAGCAGCAAGGCCAGGAAGAGATTCAGGACCTGGCAAAGCAGTGGGGGCACTCACTGGGTGCAGGTCCAGGCCGGGGGGCGGGGGGGCCTCCCACAGCCTCGCCTCCATGGGGGATGGGAGGAGCAGAGACCTTAGGGATTGCCACTGGTAGCAGGCCCTCAGCGGGATTCTCCTGAGGTTGGAGGAGTCGCTTGTGGAAGAGAAGATAAACCATAGCCCCTCTTCCCAAGGGCAGAGACACAGTCTGCATGGGGGGGGGGGGGCACCGCCCAGGTTCAGTGGACAGCCATGGGTTCGCCCAGTGTCATCGCTGCCAGATGAGGAGCAGGCCCCAGAGAGCAGGGGCTTGTGCAAGGCCATGCACCAATCCTGTGCCAGCTCTGCTGCCTCTACACACCAGCCTGGCTCTCCCTATGCCCCTTCCTGCTGCCCTGGGGACAGGGGTGGGCAGTGGGTTCCTTCTGAGAAGTAGGACCCCACTGCGTCCCCCAAGTAGTCCCACTGTGGGACTTCCACAGACAGACTCCGGGCCGATCCTGGAGAAGGAGGGGCAGTTCCCTTGGGGCCAGACCCAAGGGCTAGGGCTCCTGCCCTGGGCACTCTGTCTGCACCCCTACATCCCACTGAGCTGTCTGGGGGAGGGGATCGCATCTGTGGGCCCCAGGGACTAAGTTCAAGAAACAATGGGACCTTGGGGTTTGGGGGGGCAGGCGAGGCTACTTTGTTGGGTCTCACCTGACTCCGGGGGTTAACCAGCCCACTGGGAACAAGCAGATTCCCTTGCTCAGGGCTCCGGACTCACCGTGGGATCAGATGTGGCATGGTAGCTGTGTCTGCATGGTGTATGTGTGTGTGTGTGTGCTGGATGGATGCTGAGCATGGAAACCAACGACTGGGCTCAGAGGGGAGGATGCAGGCGTCTAGACCTGAGGGACTGAAGCGGGCCGAGGAGGACCTGACGTTTCAGGGTCCAGAAGCACAGTACTTGCATTTACTAAAATAAAATGGCCTGTTGAGAGTGAGGGAGCCCCCGGCGGTGTAGCGGTTCCTGGCAGTGGGCTGCTAACTACTAACAGCGCCATCTTTATTCTGTAGCTATGGGGGAAGGCCCACGCTTGGTGATTCTGAGCTGCTCCACACTGACCGCTGGCCTAGCTCCTGACCTCTCCATTTGCACCTGTCTCTCGGGTCACAGCCCGACGATGTCCCTTTCCTGATGGCCACAGGTCCTCTCCAACAACCTGCACCCATATTGTCCGACCTCCAGGAAACTTGGGTCCTGGCTGGAAGCCCTGGGAAGCCCCAGTCACTCACACAGGGGCTCTTGGGTTGGACTCCCCGTGTCTGCTAGAAGGCGGGCTTCTCTTTGCGCTTTCCCAGCCAATTCTGGTGCCGACACCACGCCCCAGCCCCTGCCCAATCATCAGTCCCGTTTTAATGGCAAGTTTGCTCCCACCCACGCCCGGTAGGGCCCCAACTTCTGCAGCTGGCTCCGAGGGGGCTGTGTGGGCTGGCTAGCATTCCCTCCGCCAGCAGCCTCTATTCTTCTCATCCCCAGGCAGATCCGCAGGGAAGGAAGTCAGTTGCAATGCTGTGTGGGTAAGGGGTGGCTCAACTGAGGGGTCTTGGGCCAAGACCTCAGCACACTGGCAGTCACTGAAAGAGGATCAACACCCCAGGGAAGGGAGACTGGGGGGACAGGGGCATGTGGAGCCAGCCCAAGCGCTGGGGTCTACTGCCACTGTGCACTAAGGCCCAGGCTCCACACGTGAGGCCGGAGAGGAATAACCTCACTGAATCGTGGCCTGCCCACGCAGGGCTTGGTCCAGGCGCACGGGAGAATGCAGGCGATTTATGGAAGGGCTCGGAAATCTGCAGCCCACAGCACTTACCCCACGGCAGGGCTACGCCCCTAGGAGCGGACAGGATCCCTGCCACAGGAGGGAAACCCAACAGGGACAGCAGGAGCCAGGCTGGTGAGTGTGAGGCCACCTCTTCACCTGGGCGGCAGCCCCACGGTCACTGTGTGCACTGCCTTCTCCCTGGACCCACTGACAAGCCTCCACCCATCCTTCTTGTCCTACAGCCCCTTCTCTGGCAACTTGGGGGTTCTCCACCCTGAAAAGACACAGGGCTGGATGAACCTGCCCTAGGATAGACAGGTGGCCAGATCCGTGGGAACTCTCACCACAGCCACTCAGCAGGCTCACCAGGGACACTACCTGCCTGCATCCATGCTTAGCTGTTGGCTGGCCTTACTCCTTCCCTCTGTTAACACTACCTGCTCATACTGTCAGCTCTGACTCCTCCTCTGGGAAGCCTTCCTTGATTTCTCTAGCTGGAAGGGATTCCCCGATCCAAGGACCCCTCTTAAGACTCTGATCACTCTGACCAGCTTAAAAGTAATTTCACCCCCTCCCCCAGGCCCCATCCCTTCCTCTCAAGTTGGTGAACACCACCAGGGTTGGGGCCAGGTAGGTCATCAATACCTGGTAAATCTCACAGCATTGTGCCCAGCAGGTGCTTAGCAAGTGTTTACTGGACTTTTTAAAATGTGGTAATTCCTTCATGATGAATGGTGAGCAAACAGATACATGAGCAGTAAATGAGCAAATGGTAAACAGGCAAAGGTGTGGGAGAAAGAACACACAAGTGAAATGTAATGCAGACTGACAGACTGGATGAACGAGCCGGATAGTAAGTCTTGAGTGGAGAGCTGGGTGGACAGAGGAGTAGATGAGTGAGGAGCACAGGAGTAAGTGGGTTGATAAAAGGTAGGGTAGATGAATGAGTGGGTGAGTGGGTGAATGAATGGATGGCTGGATGCCCAGGTAGACAAATGGATGGGTGAGTGTCTGTATCAACAAGTACTGATGGACAGACAGAAAGGTGGTCGATGGACAGGTGGATGGGTGGTAGGTGAATGAGTGAATGGATGAATGATAAATAGGGACAGGTGGGTGTATGCGTCCATGAGGGTTGGTGGCTAGGTGGTTTTGTGAGTGAGTGGCTGGCGAGATGAGAGGATGGGTTCGTGGATAGCGAGATGGACCGATGAGTTGGTGGGAGGGTGGCTGATGGTAGAAGGAGTCAGTGTATTGGCGATTGGACAGAGAAGAATGAATGGGACATTGATAAGTGGATAAACTGATGAGTCAGCGGGCTGGGTGGAGAAGTGGGTGAGTGAGCAGACCGATGGAGGGACTGGTGAGTGGGTGGACACATGGGTGGGTGGGTGAGGAGCTGAGGGGACAGAGAGATGGGATGAGTGAGTGAGGGTGTGGGCGGCCAACTCACCACAAGGTTACCGATGACCATGACAAGCAAGAAAACCAGCAGGCACAGGGACTGCCCAGACACCTCCATGCAGTCCCACATGGTCTCGATCCACTCGCCACAGAGAATGCGGAAGATGATGAGGAAGGCGTGGAAGAAGTCCATCATGTGCCAGCGGGGCAGCAGGCCCGAGTCGCTGATGCAGTGCCTCATCTCTGAGTAGTTCTTGCCGAAGAGCTGCATGCCGACCACGGCGAAGATGAACACAATGATCGCCAGCACCAGGGTCAGGTTGCCCAGCGCCCCCACGGAGTTGCCGATGATTTTGATGAGTGTGTTCAGGGTGGGCCAGGATTTGGCCAGCTTGAAGACCCGGAGCTGGGGAGGGAGGGAGAGGAGGGGTCCCAGTGAGGGGCTCTGGAGCTTGCTTCCCACGGGCAGTCTGACCTCCCTAGGGTCTGTCTGAGAGCCCAAGGAACAAGCTGAGAGCCCACCGCATCTTCACGGGCTCAGCCCAGGGAGTCTGGCCAACAGCTCCAGCGCGTCTTCCTCACTCTTTTCCTTTGTCCTCACGCCAGCCTCCTGCCCTGCTGAGTCTTACTCCCAGCAAGTGCCCCCCATACAGAACACCTGAGGACAGGCATCCTCATCACGGTTCTGCCTGGGCCAGCTCTCACTCTCTGTGGTGTGCCAACTCACCCCCACCTTCCTCGTCCCTGGGCTGTCAAAGAAAAGGAGAGGCTTATCACTTTCGGGGTACCTATGTATGGAGGTAGGGAGCGCTTCACCTAGGGAGTGCCTACTAGATGCCAGGCTTCAAGCTCAGGCTAGATTCACTCTTTTAGAGCTCCCAGTAACCACACGAGGCCAGCATTACTGTCAGCTCCTTTCTAGATGAAGAAGCCC